CAAACCTTTGAATCAACACATTTTATAGCAGAGGTCCCCAACCCCCCAGGCTGGGGCCCACTACCAGGCAGGGCCCATTCGGAACCATCAAGCAGAAGCAGCAGGCAAGCATGCATACATGTGCATCTCTACTTGCACGAGCAGCAGGGAAGTGGGTGAAGCTCCATTTGTGCAAGCGGTGAGTGTGCTCATCATTTCAATTGTGAAACTGTGGCCATCCCAGACCAAGCCAAGGCAAAAAATGCTAGAGAATTTCTGGAAGCCTGGCACTCTAACATATTGGCCATCAATAGATACATAGACATAAACAACATCTACATACTGTGCAAAAGAGACAATCAACAAGCCAAAAAGGAAACAAAAAGACCAAAACACCTCATTACCAGCAATCAATGCTCTGATGAGCATTACGTGCAACTAGAGTAATAAAGATGGTGAGGGACCAAGCTTAAATCCTATAAAGAACATTTTTAAAAGTCGGAATATTTAGCCTAAAGAAGAGACAACTAAGGGTTAGGGTAGATATGGTAACTGAGAGTGTAGATTTATTTTTCATAATGCCCAAGAGTATGAAAAGAATTATTGGTGAAAGGAGAGAGGGAGGGGGAGGGGGGAGAGACTGCCGAAATAAGGAGTAATTTCCTGATCACAAGACCAGTTAAACAGTAGAACAGCCTTCCTCCTGGAGTCATGAATGTTGCTTCCTTGAAGATATTCAAGCAAAAATTGGACATCCATTTGTCTGGAATGGACTAGAAGATCTCCAAGATCCTTTCAAAATCTATAATGTCTTGAGTCAGGGAAAGGAAAAATAGTCATGTTAAAGTCTTGCGATTATGGAAGATGGATAGATAGACAGATATTTTAAAAAGAAGAAAGGCACACAAACATCTGACTACTAGAGGTGGCCTGAGGAGCTATATTATAATGAGGTCAGATATCTTCAGGAGTTGTTAAAAGCTGCATGCGTCCTAATTTTTGTTTTATTAGTACTGTGTTCTAATTGCTCCCCAAAGCTCTGCTGCCAAACCATGAATGCTTCACAATTGCTAAGTAGGCAAAACAATCCCATTCAATTGCTTCTTGAATTATCCTGTTTCCCTTTCTTCCCAAAGCAAAAAATCTCCACTAAAAAGCAGCTTATCAGCAAAGACAAGTTGCATTAACCAATGAGTTTATGAAATATATGCTGCCCTTCTTTCGTTTCATTCTGTTGTTTCTACCGTTTTAGTCTGTTTTAGCCAAGATCTGCCATTTCTGCTGTAAGGATATTTAGACTCGAAAGAAATTAAAGGCTGATGTCAGCAAAACATCTCCATGCCTTGCACATATATTAATAAAATGACCACTGACTGTTGCTAGCTTTATAAAAATTGGGTCACGGCTAAAAACCAAAAGATGGCTGAGCAAATAACAGCTATATTATTTTTAGAAGAGCTTTTGACTTCATCTCAGTACTATGGTGGTACCAGTGGTGGGATTCAAATATTTTTGCCACCAGTTCGGTGGGTATGGCTTGGTGGGCACGCTTTGCGTGCGTGCATGCATACACTTTGTGTGCATGTGCGCCCCAAATGCACACTTTGCGCAGGCGCAAGAAGCATTCTAACTCACCTCCTGCAAGCCTGCATGATCCTGTTCGCTTCAGCAGCTGCCGCACAGCACTCTTCTGTGACGCGCAAAGCAGCTGTCCTTCAAATTCAGCGGATAAAGGTGAGTATGGAAGCCCGGGAGGGTGGGTGGGCCTAACAGCAGAGTGGCGGACAGAACCAGTTCAGTCTCCACTGCTCATCACTGCTACCGGCTTGCCAGAACCGGGCCGAACCGGTAGAATACCACCACTGGGTGGTACCACCAACAAGGACAAGAAGCAGCTTGAAGCTCAATGTAGAAATGCTAGGGATTGAATCCTGGAGTACATGCAGCAATGAAAATACAATTCTTCAGTAATAAAGAAGTGTAGAAGACTACACTTTTACAGAATTGTAAAGATTATCAAGCTATTGTGTAACTCCAACAAGACCTTACTCTATTGATTATGTTGAGCATGTTTATATACAGCTGTCTTGTTATGAAGAATAAAGCTGAGAGGCATATTCTAAAAATCAAAGACATGAACAGGGATAGAATCTCTATTGATTTAATACTGAGTGTGCCAAATTTATAATGAAGGTAAAGCATCCACCCAACCAGGATATCTTAGCCTCTTCAATCCATCCAGGTAGAAAACAGAGTATCTCAAAAGCAGATTTATCTAAATCCAATAAATCCTTCCACGTAGCAAGACATTCAACCCATAATGGGGTATAAGGAGGGTGGTCTGTGCCCAAGGCAAACATCTCAGTTGGGGTAAAGAGTCTTTTGCATTTTTTCTGCCATATAGTAGTTTTTTTGATTTTTTAAACTCAAATATGAATTTTGTCATTTGTCATTTCTTTCTTCCCTCTTTTGTCACAAGGGAAAGGAAGAGGCATGATGAAAAGAGAATAGACCCCACATACATAATAAAAGTATAAAAATCCTTATGGCTGTGTTTATATACCCAATTTTTTACCATTTCTTTTAAAGAATCCTCTAGAACAAATATACTCTGAAGAAAAGATATGTTTTGTGGTACAAGGAAATATTTGCAAGCATACAGCATAATATTTTCTTGCAGTTTCTAAAGGTAAAAAATGTTTCTGATATATAAAATGCTCAAAAAGAGGTGGAATGAGAGTAGAAGGCATATCACTTATTTTCAGTCATGTTTGCATAGTTACTGGGTTTCCTTTCTAGCATGTTGATGACAAGACACATGCAAATACGAAAAAAATCCAGTGATTTTTTTAAAAAATCCAATTTATTTTTTGTATTTTTATATGTGTAATGTATATAGTATTTCCTCCAATCTCCACATATTTTTTCTCAATTCATTTAGAAATTTGGCATGTAGGCCAAGAGTGTCCAATCTGTTCAAGCACTGTATAAAAATGAATGCAAATGATTTTCAACAAGTGTGAAGGGAAAAAAGCATTCTTATGCTGTTTTTCATTGCAGTTATACAAAATTGCTGTATGAACCAACCATACAGAAAAATGGACATTAAAGTACACTAAAGAAGAAAAGAAGGCCATTTACCACTCAGCCAGTTAAACAAAGAAGGAAAAAAGAAGCATGCCTCCTTGCAACCCTTTATTTCGTAAAAAATAAAAGCACTCAGCTTTCAAGTTCAGCTTCATTATATGACTAAAAGGCACAGGAGAAAATAAAAAAAAATCTTCTATTTTCTTCAGACCATGCATAACATTCTATTATATATGTATTATTCTTTTTATTACATCCCAATTTTTCTACATGAAAAAGGCGTGTCATTTATCAAGGATCATTATACAATCATAGGTCTAAGTACAGAAAGATAAAGATAGATGCCAGATACCAATTATGCTTTTAAAAGTTATAAACTGTCTTAAAAATGAGGGATTTGATTGAACAGGATGATGTTCTCAAACATTTGTTTCTTTTTTGAATGTTGTAGACTGAATGGAAGTCTCTTTTAGTTAGTTTCATTCCTTTTCTGCGAAGTTCATCAAAATGTCAATTTTTTTCTTTAGCATTTATAACCTGCTTAAGAAAACGAGTAACCATCGAGAATGCATTGTTACTGACTTCTAGGGAAGAAATGGCAAACTGAAGTTAGCTCTGTTAAAAGCGTAGCTGAAGCATGTAGCAGAATGAAGAGCCAGCAAGGAAACTTGTTCTTCTGACAAGAAATGGACCTTCCACAATGGACCATCAAGATCATCCACAAGTTCTTCTCAAAGTTATTTCTTATAAGGAGATCAGAAGACAACAGTTTAGTGCTCTCAAAGTTATGGGAATAGCTATCCTGTTCAACCCATAGTTGGAACTTTGAAGGACACTGGGTTTGCATATTTCCTTTTCTAATCATTTTCAGAAATTGCTTGTTAACTACTTTTCAGTTCAGGTTTAAAGACTTAAACAAATTATTCTGGAATAAACAGCAAAGGTAAACAAAACTTTGATTTTAAAAGTTACAAACAGACTAAGGGTTCCAGATAGATTTGAAATAAGATTTTGAAATTAAGTATAAGAATCCTGTGGGAAAATATTTTTTATTTTGAATTTTTTTTAAAAAAAGTCTGGGTTCTTGAAGGTTGGACACTGAAGGAACTAGAAGGAACTAAAGATGACAATTAAGAGAAAATAACACTTACATTTAACTTTCTAATACAGAATGGAGCAAAATATTTTTACATTCAACTTACTGAAGGGTATTTTTGAGCAATGGACCCGGAAGTTAGTTTTAAAAGTGAAATACAAAAAAAAACAACCCCCAGCTGTTTCCTTAATAACTAAAAGGGATACATAAATAACAAGCCAGGAGAATGACCTGGATAATCTTCCCATACAGCATCTACAAAAAAGGGTTGATAAAGCTTTGAAGAATTTTGTGAGATGGGACAAAGAAAAAATGGAACATCATAAAATTTTAGAACATTATTTAAAAGAACCAAAGATCAAGATTATTAAAAATAAAAGGAAGGAATATAAAAGTGGATTATTTGATCAAGGTTAAAATAGATCTGTTATTATCTCTGCTAATTTTAATTGACTTTTGCTGACATCAGGACTGAGATGATGAAGTTTTAAGGATTAGTTTATAGATGAGATATAGGATATGGGAAGAAGAGATCATCTGTTGTATTTTAAGAGAAGGCACTAGGTTAAAAATTGTTTCTACTATATATTTTGATGAAGGGAAGTCATTTATATATTTATTTTATTTTCTCCACTATAGTTTTATTTTTTCTTTCTTTTCTATGTTTTCTTTTCTTTTTCTTTCTGTACCCCTATTTTTATATTTTTATTTGTATTCATTTTTTATCACAGTTGTTGTAATTTTAATAAAATTACTATTAAAAAAGAGAATTTATTGTCGCTCATAAGAACTGATGGTTTGCTTCCCTTCAGCAAAACCAACTTAGATTAATTTTTACCTTTCTCAGAAGAAAGCAGATCCGTTCAATGTTTCTCAACCGCTCTCTCTGTCAAAGGAAAGGGGGGAAAGATGTAGTAAAATGGTACAATTTAAGAAACCTAAAATTGAACAAATAGTGTGGATCAACATATATTTTACCTGATCTCAGAAAAAAGTCTATAACATACTAGCCTCTGATATAATTTGCATGGTACTGCCTTAGTTATCTACTGAGATCATCTAAACATATTTAAGTTCAATTATATCAAATTTGCCACTTATACCACTTTTGCCAAGGCAACTGAAGTTAGTCCCAAATCTGAACTGCAACTTCCAGTATATTAGAAACTGTAGTTCAGCAGTGATTGGATAATTACAAATTTTCTATTTCAACTTTAAAGATAGCAAATGATTTTTGGAAATTCATGCAAGGAATAAAATAAGGAGCCTTTAGTTTGATGATATGTAAGTTGAGTTGCTGCCACAGAGTGGACGAACTATGGAAGACAGAAACACATAATGGTACTAAAGAACATTATAAGACAAAAGCAAAGTGTGTGTTTTGTGCAGGCACACTTTTTGGTTTATCTTATATTTTCTCCTTATACTGTGAAAGTCCCACCTTATTTTTTTCAAAATATAGTATATATGTAACAAGTATTATTTTTGCATCATCAGCAGGTATTTTAATGCTGCCTTGAAGTAGCTAAACTTTTATTGCAGAGTTTAAAGGTAAAAATGTTCTCTAAAGGGGAAAAATGCTTCCTTAGAAGGTACAGTACAGTTGGCAAAATAAGAGAGCAGCAGAAACTGGAATTGTGGGTTCTTTTCTAGAAACAGCAGAGTAAGTATTGTGAGAAGTGTTAGATCAAAGTATCCATTTTTATGACTCAAACCTCATGTTGAAAGGAGTGTCTTTAGGGTAGGGAAGTGCCAGGTACTGATTGAACTATCCTGGAATGTTTGAACTGTTGAACCACATGGGAATGTCCCTGAAGTACCAGGTACCGATTGAACTATTGAATTATCATACACTTCGCGCATGATATGTTGATGTATGCCCTCGTGTTAGGGAAGTGCTGGCTGCGTGCTATGCACCATATAAGGTAATGAATTGTAACCTGTATTCTGAAAGGTAGATTGTAAACCAAGCCATTTGCATAATGGGGCGGTAGTTTAGGGTATAAGAATAGAGTAAATGCTATGCTCTGGGTTCCTCCCAGCTGGCAAGGGTGGAACCCACCTCTGCAGATGTGTACTCAATAAAGCCTTTTTCCTTGGATCAATTTCGAATCGTGGTGGTCTTTTGAGCCGCCACCTCACAATTTGGGGGCTCGTCCGGGATCCTCGACGGTGGTCAACTGGAAAGCGGGGACCAGGTAAGAGAGTGGCCACGACCTCCCGTTGAGAGGTACCTCTCCCCGAATTCGGTCAGACCCCCGAGGTGACTGGGAATCCAGACGGTCCTTGGAAAAAGAACTAAGATGAAATGCCAGCTGAGAGTTTGTGAGATCGATCTGAGTTGGGGACGCCCACACATCCTTTGACTGCAGAGAGTCCAGGCGTGATCAGATCAGGTAAACTTTGTTCCTTTCATTTGTAGTCAAAAAGAGAGAGGTCCTTAAACTCCCTGGGGGAATCCAGCATCTGCTGGAAGACTGGGACTGGTGAGTCAAGGCTCTGGGAGTCTGGAAGAGTAGAGATGGGAAAGGGACAGAGCAAGGGTAAGGGTCTGGGAGACCAGGAAGAAACCTGTCTGGGACAGGGAAGATTTGACAATGGCAGGAGACCAATTCCGGTAGATTCGCCTCTGGGACAGCTACTCCAGCAGTGGTTCTCCCCGAATCTAAAGGAATTCACCAGACGTCTCGAAAAGAAACACATGATTTATCTTTGTCGAGACCGATGGCCAAAATATCCTTTGATTGATCCTAAATTTCCGTATCACTGGAGTCCTGAGGGGGAAACCAGTACCTATTGGATGACCAAATTGCGAGACTATATTCTCCAACACAAAATGACCACTCAAATTGCATACATAGATGTATGGTTTCATGTGAAATTTGAAGGTCCCGTCCCTCCAATCGAGGGTCAATACATGTCTCAACAGAAGGGCAACGAAAGCGAGATGGATGATTGGCTACAGGGTCCGCCACCTTTGAATCCTAATTTGAACAATCCACCTGCCAATATTCCAATGGCACCGCCGTTGCCGGCGCCACAACTCCCTCCTCCGCCGCCTTATCCGAGACTGAGGAAAGAGGTGGAACAATTGAAGAGAGATGTTCAGAATTTTCCCTTCAGCCACAAACCTGAAGTGGATGCATTTCCTCTTAGGGAAGTCCCTAATGGGATCAATGCTGCAGGCAACCCAGTGACAGTCTTCATGGCCGTCCCCATAAAACCAGCCGATTTGCGAGAATTGAAAAAGACTCTTCCAAAACTTCATGAAAATGCTCATGAGGTGGCCGAACAGTTAGAACTATGGTTGGGTCCGAATGATTACACTTATCAGGAGTTGATGTACATTTTGGGGCATCTGTTTACTCCTGAGGAGCGGAATCTCATTCGGACCTCTGCAATGAAAGCCTGGGATACCAGACATCATGGTCAGGCAGGGGCTATACCAGCAGATCAGAAATTCCCCATAGCAGCTCCCGATTGGGATCCAAACACCCAAGGCGGTAGAGATAATATGCGGAATATGAGAGCAATGATCATGGAGGGGATAAAATTGGCAGTCCCACAAGGGAAAAATTTAACTAAAGCCTTTGAAGTAAGTCAGGGGAAGGACGAATCTCCTGGAGATTATTGTACTAGGCTCCGAGAAAGTCTGGTCAAGTATTCAGGGGTAGACCCTAACACACCTGCTTTTGAAGCCATGCTGAAAATGCAGTTCGTGACCGGAGCTTGGCCAGATATCCAAAAGAAAATTCAGAAAATGGATAATTGGGGAGCTGTGGGAATTGTTGATCTCCTGAAAGCAGCCCAACAAGTGTTTGTGAATCGTGACACAGTGAAAACCAGACAAAAGTCACAAATGATGGTTGCGGCCGTACAGGCTGCAGCAAAAAATGAGGTGAAGAAAGGTGGGAATTTTGGTAGGAGTCAGAATGGAGACAGGAGGGAGAATTTTGGGGGATACAATCAGGGAGGATTCCGGGGACGTGGTAGAGGTTTTAGAGGAAGAGGCATGGGAATGAGACAGCCCGGAATGGATAGGAGCTGTTTCAGGTGTGGGAAGGAAGGCCACTTTGCGCGTGAGTGTCCGACCAACCGGGAAGAGCGGAGTTATGCATTGTATGATGATTAGGGCTGTTCCGGCTCCTTTAAGAGGACCCGTGGGAGCCATTGGTAAACATTTTAGTGGGTCCTAACCATCAGGAGCGGCTGTTCCTGATAGACACTGGTGCAAGCCGGACTTCTGTGTGTGACCCGGTAGAGGGCGCACATAGATCAAGGAAAGTGATAAAAGTAGTTGGGGTGAGTGGAAAATCACAGGATGTGAGTGTGTTTGAACAAATTAGACTGGAGATGAATGAGGTAGTGACTGAAGCTGAAGTGTTGTACATTCCTGATTCTGGAGTGAATTTGCTGGGGAGAGATTTGTTGCCTGCGTTCGGTATCCAGTTGTGGGATACCGGGAAGGGAATAAGGATGTGTAAGATGACTGTGGAAGATGAGAGGGCAATTCCGGATGAGGTCTGGGCAGGAGAGAAGGCAGGGCGAATGAACATTCAGCCGATTAAGATTCAAGTGCAGCCTGGGGTGACGAAGTTGTGGACATCACAATATTCGATGAGTAGAAGGGGAAGAGAGGGGTTGAAGCCTGTGATCGATAGATTGTTGAAACAGGGCATGTTGGAACCTACTATGTCACCTTTCAATTCCCCAATATTGGTGGTATTGAAGAAGGATGGGAAGTATAGATTAGTTAATGATTTGAGGAGGATCAATGAGATAGTGGTTCCCAGATTCCCAGTGGTTCCTGATCCCTATACCATCTTGGGACGAATCCCTCCCAAAGACAAATGGTTTACTGTGATAGATCTGAAGGATGCCTTCTGGACATGCCCCCTGGAGGAGGGAAGTAGAGACCTGTTTGCATTTGAATGGGATGATCCTGAGAGTGGGAGAAAACAGCAGTTAAGGTGGACGGTACTCCCCCAGGGATATACCGAGAGCCCTTTGTTGTTTGGACAGGCTTTGGAAGAAAAGTTAGTGTCTTTTGAAAAAGGGAAAGGGATCATGTTGATTCAGTATGTGGATGACTTGTTGTTGACTGGGGAAAAAGAGAAAGAGGTCAGAGCAGCATCTGTGACTTTGCTAAATTGGCTGAAGGAGCAAGGATTGACAGTTTCAAGGGAAAAGATCCAGTTTCTGGAAAGGAAGGTGAAATATTTGGGGCATTATATTCAGCAGGGGGTGAGGTCTTTGGATCCTGAGAGGGTGAAAGGGATCATGAGCCTGGCTCCTCCCAGAAATAAGACAGAAGTCAGGAAAGCTTTAGGGCTGCTGGGATATTGTAGGATCTGGGTAGACCAGTACACGGTTCTGGCTCAGTTCCTGCATAAGAAGTTGGTGGGGAAAGGAGAGAGTATTGAATGGGAAGAAGGGGACAACCAAAGATGGGAAAGCCTGAAGGAGAGTCTGTCCACTGCATTCACACATGTTGAGAGCCAGGGAAAAGGAGCTGAACAAGCCTTTCAAATGACATACCTTTGGTAAAATCTGGCAGGAGAGGGGTTTTATCAAGGCTGATGGGAAACAAGTCGAACAATAACAGCTTGTGGAACAGGCCTTGGAGGCCCTGCAACTGCCAAATCAAGTTGCAATAGTGCATGTGAATGCTCATCAGAAAAGGAACACCCCAGAGGTAGTTGGGAACAGGTGGGCAGACAAGTGGGCGAAGGAAGCTGCAGGGGAGGTGGAGCTGGTAATGGCATTAATTCCCTGTTAGAAATGGAAAAGGATGAGGATTGGAAACCGGAGGGAAAAGAAAAAGATGATTTGGAAAAAGAAGGGTGTACACTGATGGAGAATGGGTGGAGAACCTCAGAGGGAGTGAGAGTGGTTCCTGTGAATGTAATGAGAGGAATTCTGGAGAAGGTACATGAGGGAGGACATTGGGGAACAGAGGCACTGGTGACAGCTGTGAAGCCACATTTTTGGAGTCCTAAAATGTGGACACTAGCCCAGAGCATCTGCTGGAAATGCTTGATATGTTTGAAAGTAAACAAGAAAGCAGCAAGGAAGAAAGAAATGGGAGGGTGACCCCTAGTGAGCTGGCCTTTCCAGAGAGCACAGATTGATTTCACTGAATTACCAGAAAAGAGGGGATGGAAATGCTTGCTTGTGATTAAAGATCAACTGACAGGGTGGGTGGAGGCCTATCCGACCAGGAGAGCCACTGTCCCCACAGTAACCAAGATCCTGTTAGAACAAATCATTCCTCGTTATGGGATGATGGAAGCTATTGATTCTGACAGGGGGACACATTTTACACAAAAAGTGTTGCAATCTGTGATGGGAGCTGTTGGGGTGAAATGGGATTTGCACACCCCTTGGCACCCAGAATCCAGTGCAAAAGTGGAAAGAACGAACGGGGAATTGAAGAAACATTTGACCAAATTACAATTGGAAAATGGGTTACCATGGACAAAGAACTTATCTTTGGCACTGCTCAGAATCAGAACATGTCCAAGAAAAGACACTGGGGTCTCTCCATTCGAGATGCTAATGGGGCGACCCTAATTGGCAAAAATAGGGAATCCAATTCCTGAATTTAAAGATTTATTTTTGAGAAAATATTTGCAGGCACTGTCCAGGTCTTTGCTTTCTCTCCATAAACAGGGACTATTGGTGCAACGACCACCTCTTGCTGGGAACCAACATCCCTTCGAGACTGGAGATTGGGTTCTGATAAAGACTTGGAAAAGTGAGAAGCTGCAACCTAGCTGGGAAGGCCCGTACCAGGTGCTGCTGATAACTGAATCTGCAGTTCGCACTCAGGAAGGAGGCTGGACGCATTACAGCAGAGTCAAAAGGGCACCGGAACCTGAAAGACCTTGGAGGGCAGTTCCAGTGGACGGTCAGCCGCTGAAGCTCACCTTGAAAAGATGAAGAAGTCTGAACCCTGGACTGAGCTAATTGTCTTTATTCTAGGACTAGGACTGGGAACTTCCTGGGGAAGTGAGAATTCACATCAACCCCAGAATGTTACCTGGGTTGTACTTGATTCCCATTCAGATATAGTCAATTGGACTAGCGAAAAGAGGCCTCCCAATACTTGGTTTCCAGAACTGCAATTTGACCTGGGAAGGGTCCTCTTGTCCACCAACGATGACGAGTTCATAAAGAAACACCATTTTTACGTCTGCCCTGGACATAAAACTGAAAGAAGCTACAAAAAGACTTGTGGAGGGGCCGATCAGTTTTATTGTGCAGCCTGGAGTTGTGTGTCTATGGGACATATCTGGTGGGACCCTCTGTTCAAAGGTGATCTGATTCAGATCATTCCGGGATAGTACAGGACTCCATAAAAAAAACTGAGGGAAGGACTGAACCAAAGAAAAAGAGAAAGGGATGACCATCAAGGGTGGTTTGAATTTCTCTTCAATACATCCCCCTGGATGACCACCCTAATCTCCACTTTAATAGGACCTTTAATTTTATTATTATTAATCCTCACCTTTGGTCCATGTATCCTAAACAAATTAATTAATTTTATGAAAGATCGAATTGACACAGTACAAATGATGGTGTTGAGACAACAATATGACCCGTTGGGGCACCTGAAGGAATCTCCCGAAGAACAACTATGGGAAACAGCAGACTTGTTATTAACTGAGTTTGAGTCAAGGATGGAGCAAGAAAAGGGGGGATTGTGAGAAGTGTTAGATCAAAGTATCCATTTTTATGACTCAAACCTCATGTTGAAAGGAGTGTCTTTAGGGTAGGGAAGTGCCAGGTACTGATTGAACTATCCTGGAATGTTTGAACTGTTGAACCACATTGGAATGTCTCTGAAGTACCAGGTACCGATTGAACTATTGAACTATCATACACTTCGCACATGATATGTTGATGTATGCCCTTGTGTTAGGGAAGTGCTGGCTGCATGCTATGCACCATATAAGGTAATGAATTGTAACCTGTATTCTGAAAGGTAGATTGTAAACCAAGCCATTTGCATAATGGGGCGGTAGTTTAGGGTATAAGAATAGAGTAAATGCTATGCTCTGGGTTCCTCCCAGCTGCCAAGGGTGGAACCCACCTCTGCAGATGTGTACTCAATAAAGGCTTTTTCCTTGGATCAATTTCGAATCGTGGTGGTCTTTTGAGCCGCCACCTCACAGTATTATAATTAACTATAATTATCAGACTTAAGCATGCAAGATATACTATCAGTTACATCTTAAACTGGATCACCTTGGGGCTGAGGTTTCACTGAATATATTCAATATATAATTTGAGCAAATGTTACATAGCAAACTGCAGGCCCATATCTATGGATGGGGCTATCACATTACATTCTATTGAGAGGTATAGCCCTATGCCCTATGAGGAAAGTTACAAATCAAATCACTTGCTTCCCTGTTTTAGATCAAAGTGTAATCTGTGGCAACTTGAATTTAAAAACAAAACCAGCGGCTGGATGACTAAACACTGGTACTGCACAAAGCATTTGAAAGAGAGTGCTTTGCTAAGCACACCAGAAATTGCAAGCCCCACCCCCCATCCTCAAAATGTTAGAGCAGGCATGTCATTTGAAAGGCTTGTTCAGCTCCTTTTCCCTGGCTCTCAACATGTGTGAATGCATGTGCAGCTGCTTCGTTTCACTGGTAATTCTAGAGAAAGTGTAGTCAGCATATGTACACAAATATAAAGATAACCAGCTGCACAAGCTTTCCAAAGAACACAGATGCTTTACTCAATGAAATTGTGGTGCTTCACGCAGCTCTAATAAAGATCTGTATTTGAAATATTTGAAACCCACTGTCAGTGAAAACAAAATCAGGAAAAAGGGGGAAGATAATGATCAGTGCAAGGCAATTTACAAACCTTACTAGTTTGCCATTAAATTATTTAAGTACAATGAAGAAGACAGATTCCCAACTGCATGCAAAAACTGTGGGAAGGCTTAGCCTCACGCATTCTCACTTCTCTCTTCATCTAGTGCATGCTAGACAATATGTGCTCACATGTCAGAATAAAAAAATATGATGAGAAGAAGCCTGGGGAAAAGCCTTGCCTGGTGGTTATCTTGTAACCTGTTAGATCTGAGGAAGTTGACAGGTTCCTCAGTACTGTAGGCTTTGCCATATCTTGCCTTGTTTGTCAAAGTGGCCTGGGAGGTGTCGTGTGAATGGGTTCTGGTGAAGGTTGAGTCTTCTTTGAGTGAGGGAGTTATTCCTTTATCTCTTAAGAAGGTCTTGGTTCACCCCTCCTCAAGGAACCATCATTGAATCCCACCATGCTAGACATTTTTTGTCCAGTATCTCTCTTCTCTTTATTGAGGAAAGTGGTAAAGAAGGTGATTACGCAAGAGCTTCAAAGGGCCTTGGAGGAAGTGGATTAGGAAATTAGGAAAGAATGGCTGAGTCAACCTCAAGCCTCCAGAGTGTGAGCAGAGTTAGCATTCTAACCACTATGCCACCAGGGCTCCTAGATTAGCATTGAAAATCCACTTTCATTTTAAAACAGGTGGCAGTTCTCACAGTTCTAACATCCCACATTAAAAGACACTAACTTCATCTGGAGATTTTAGATCTGGAGATTATGTCAAACAATCCAAAGGCAAACTATGCCACCTGATCCTGTTTTGTACATTACAATTTAAACAAAATACATACAGTTCCGTGAATTCTAGGAAACAATGATTGCTTAAAAACAGAATATGGATGATTTAAGCCTCCTCCTGGAAGTTTTAGAAAAGATTTAAGAACTGTATAATAGGCTTGTATTATCCTGAACTTGAGCAGTGTCATTTGCATTCTTTGTCTATTTATTGCATTTGAATCCTGCTGCAATCAAAAACTCATCCTGATCCCTGGAGCTGCTCCCAAACTTCTTAAATTGTATGCAAGACTGTTAATTGCTTCTCTCAATCCATAGCTACAGACTATCTGCCTTGGACTGCTATTAGTATCCTTTGAAAAATACCAAGGTTCCCCATTACTTCAAAGTTATCTTCTGTATGAAATTGTGTGCAGATACTATTACATCTCTTTGCATTTAGAAGGTCAGCTAATATACATTTCTTTAGGCATGCCCATCTAATATTATATTAGTAGAATACTATTATAGTATGTTACTCTCTCACAATATTATTTTGCCTTGTTTTTATCTTGTTAGCCATTTGTCATAATTCAACATTCAGTAAATAAGAAATTAGTATTAAATAATTGTATCTAGTTCATCCTGCAGGAAACCATGGTTTCATTTGACCTCCGAAGGAATCCCTTCTCAAGATTTATTTATTTATTTAGCTTTTTCTCAAAGTCTAATAAAGACAGTGGGGCCACAAATCCTCCTTGAGAAGCATCTATTCATTATATTTATTTATATCACTTCTATAGAAAGTATGTCTCTCTGAAATGAATTACAGAGCATTCAGCTGCAGCATGCAACCAACATCAAATACCTTAGCCAATTATAGATCTCATGAATCAACCTTTAGTTTATTGGGTTTTATTGCAGGAACTTTATTTCCCAATCAGAACTAATTATGTCAAGACCAGGCTCACTACATTTACGTATTAAAATAAAAATGTATAGAGGGTTTGGACAGGGAGGTCAAAGACAATGGCAATCAACTTGTATACGGTTACCAAGAAAACTATAAGGGCCTGTCCATTAAAGCACTAGGAATGGTATTTTTCAATGCTTGTTGAAAAATCATAAGATCACATTTAACACTATATTTTCAAAATATAATTTTCATTAAATGTTAGTTATTATTAAACCGAAGAGCAGTACTTACTGCATTTGTTGGGTTGCACTGGTCTATAGGACTCTTGAAGTCTGTCTTTAACTCATCAAATGCAATTATCTACAAAAAGCAAAATTCAAACCATGTTATGTTACTTTCAAATTTGTTACTTTCAAATTTGTGCTTTTAACAATTATTTATTCTGTCCTGCTGTGGTGAAAATTCTTCAAGGCAGCACACAATGTTACTGTCTAAAAAACCCTATTTTTAGCCATAAAAATCTTATGTATAAACAAAAGTGCTATACCAGTTTTATAGTTTAATATAATATCATTTTAGTTTTCTCAATATTTTTGTAACAGGTAGGTAGGTAGGTAGATAGATAGATAGATAGATAGATAGATAGATAGATAGATAGATAG